TTATCATCGTTCACTAGTTTCTCCAGTGCCAACTATATAGCATGACTAACATGGTGCTTGGAGTACCATAACTAACTCCTAGTAGGGACATTGATAAAAGGATGACTCTGGCGATATTGTTATTGAACTAATTGCCCTATAACCTATTCAGTATTAGTGCAAGTAACACTTTATAGGGATTGAAAGTTATAAATAAAAAGAATTCTATTAAGAATAAGCATGCATCAGGTAATAAGGAATTTATTGGCCAACTTGAATGCGGGACTTTCTTTTATCTCCTGATACTCCAGTACCATGGTTTGAATTGGTGATCGTTGTCTATGATGGGTTTTGAGTTGGATTTTGCTTGATATTTTTTCCAGTTTTATTCTAAAGTGTTTAATTGGATTTTGTTTGAATTAAGATCTCAGGTTGTTACATGTCTGATTCCATTTTGCGTTAACATGTGCTCATTTCTTTCATCTACCTGTGCCTACTTTATAACTTCCATGTTCGAAGGTATTTTTTAGATGATAGTTAGACCTCATGTAGCTCAATCTAAGTTCTTTGCCTTATATATGGATGTTGTTTATGAATGTCAATCCAGGACCTAAATTCCATGATGAAGTGGCATAATTCCACCCTGGTAGCAAGTCGGCCAAAATTATCTGATTAATTCTACCTTTCTTTGTGCATCCTCATTTACTAAACTAGTTACAATCCATTCTTTGCAACAAGTTATCTAATTTTTTCGTTTTTAATTTGGTTGAAGATGAATTCATTTGAAGATTTTGCAAGCGATCTTAGTGTTGATGATATTGAAGCACTTGATGATGAAGATGATCTTATAGAGGCGTTGCTTTTGAATGATGAAGATGAGGATGAGTACATGTGGAACGAGATGATTACAAGTGTCATTAATCAATCAAATGTGATAAAGCAGGTTCCTCGTCCATGTCGAACTAGGCCATTCTCTGGTCATATGCTTGCAGAAGATATGTTGGCTGGACATCCTGATCGTTCATATTCTTGCTTCCGAATGAGTTCTGAGGCAATTCTATTGCTAAAAAATATTCTCATTGAGAAGAATGCTTTAAGGCCGACTAGATATTTAAGCTGCAATGAACAACTATGTATATTTTTATACGGAATTTCACATGCCCTTTCAAATCGAGTATTAGCTGAGATATTTCAACATTCAGGAGAGACTATTAGCAGACATTATAATAATGTGCTTAATGCTATATTATCTTTGAAACAAGATTATATCCAACTTCCTACGGCTGACGTAGACGTTCATCCTAAGATTCGAGAGAATCCCAATTTCTTTCCATACTTCAAGGTAGAGCTCTCAGCATATATTTTATGAAATCTTTTTAAATGTGTATGTGTCTATGTATCTGTACATTAGAACTTTATATTTGTTTTATATTTGCAGAAAGCATTGGGAGCAATTGATGGATCTCATATTCCTGTAATTGTGAAGAAAAAGAAACACAACAGGTATCGTAATCGAAAGAATTTCATATCTCAAAATGTAATGGCAGTATGCTCCTTTGATCATACTTTTCTTTATGTTGCTGCTGGCTGGGAGGGATCAGCATCTGATATGTCAGTACTTCGTGCAACACTGGAAGATGGTAAATTTAATGTTCCTGAAGGTAAATTTTAATTTTACTTTTTTTTAGTTTTCTTTTGGAATCAATTAGTACTAAAGTCAGATAATTTTAAATATGTAGGTCGCTTTTACTTAGTTGACTCGGGATATGCTAATACTTCAAAATTTATCGCCCCATATCGTGGATCACGCTATCATATTGGGGATTTTACAAATGGGACCATCAGAGCCTATCGAGATACTAAAGACAAATTTAATCATAGACATGCACAACTACGTTTTTTTTTAGTTTTCTTTTGGAATCAATTAGTACTAAAGTCAGATAATTTTAAATATGTAGGTCGCTTTTACTTAGTTGACTCGGGATATGCTAATACTTCAAAATTTATCGCCCCATATCGTGGATCACGCTATCATATTGGGGATTTTACAAATGGGACCATCAGAGCCTATCGAGATACTAAAGACAAATTTAATCATAGACATGCACAACTACGTAATGCAGTGGAAAAGGCATGGGGAATTTTAAAGCAAAGATTCAAAATTTTGAAAGTTCCAGCTCCATTTCCTTATAAAACTCAAGTCAAAATCGTCATAGCTTGTTGTGTTCTTCATAATTTTATTGCAAGGCATCATGGAAATGATAAATACTTTAATATGCTCAATGGATTAGAGATGAATGAGGATGAAGATGAGGAGGAAGAAGATGACCCCCAATACATGGTTGGTGCAGATGAAAGTTTAAGAGGTGAGCAGCTCCGCAACAGAATTGCTTTACAGCTTTGGAATAATTGATATCTGTAATTGTCGAATACTAGTATGAACATGATGAATAGAAATTGCAATCAACACTAACATTTCAGACCTGCGTTACAACCACATAATGACCGTGTCTTTGAGGCTTCTGGCTTGATTGATGTTCTGATCACAATGACGTTGTGATATTAACTTGAGATACTGGGAGAATATTACACAGAATTCTAGCATTTTCATCATTTGCTTTGTTGGATGCTCGTGCTCTTTTTTCTTTTATGTGCATGTGGGTAGTTGTTGACAAACTGGTTATGGCTTTTGTTTGCTCTGGGTATGAGACTGTGTTTATTTAGTCTATTTTTTTCGTTTTTGATGATGTAATTATTTATAAATATTCAATAAGGGCAAAAGTGGCATTTTTTAAAAATATAATGAGATTAATCTCCTTAACCCCTTTTCATTTGCCAAACACAAAAGACTTAACCCCTTGTCTTAACTATTGTATCCAAACGGGTTTAGAATTTTTTTAACCCTTCACGATGGATTAACTAAGTTAACCCTTCTCTTTAATCCCTCCTCCTTAACCCTTTGCCAAACGGGGCCTTATGGTTTTGCACTATAATTTCCACCGAAACTGATTAGATTTTATTAACTTTCTTAAACGGAAACCAACATCAGTTTCGGCGTCCAACTCTTTTTTTTTTTTAGCTGAAAAAACAGGGTGAGATACCCTGTTCGTAGGAATATATTAAATAGAACCGAAAAACTACGTCCAACTCTTTCTTCGACACTAATAAACACGATATTAGTTTACAAGTCATTGACATATTATATAGTTAATAAGAATACTAAGACAACAAAATACTAACAAAATTAGAATAATGTAAGAGTAAACTTTTTAGACCGCTAAGACATACGGTTTGATGATATTTCTAGCGCAAGCTCGTATCTTATAGATTATAATTCATCCTGCGTTGAGATGTTTTCTCATATTGAAAACTATTAGATTAGAAAAGGCATCCTTCTCATCTTCCACTTTTGTACAAAGAACCAGCGTGACCTAACAGCGTATTTTTTCCCCCAGTAGCTTGTCCTTATCATTTTTATTATTTCGTTTTCATAACATTATCCACAGCTCTCTTTTCTTACAGCCTCAGCCCATACTCACAAAATAATTTTGGAACATATTTAATTAAGATTAAATCTTAGAAGGAGAAAAGGGAGCAAACACGCAGGGAAAATTTAGACCATAGCAAATATATACAAGCAATTAATCTTTTTTTTTTACTGCAAAGAAGGCAATCTCTTCTTCTCTCTACCATGCTTTGGGTGAGAGAGTACCTTGAGAGAGTGAAAGAGAGAGGGAGGCGGCGGCTCGTCGGTAGGGCGGCGGCGAGAGAGAGGGGGAAATAGGAAATTGAGAGAGGGATTTGGGATAAATCCCTCTCTCGGGCGCGGGCTGCCCAAATTTTTTGGGCACGCCCGCGCCCAATTTTTTTTCCCAGCTATTTTTTTTAGCGACGGAAGTTCCGTCGCTAAAAGACTTTTTAGCGACGGAAATGCCGTCGCTAAAATGTTTTTAGCGACGTAAATACCGTCGCTAAAATTCCGTTGGTAAAATAATAGCAACGGCCATTTTCCGTCGCTAAATATGATTTTTTCGTCGGTAAAATTATTTTGTCGACGGAATAATAGCGACGATATTTTTCGTCGCTGTAAAATGACTTATAGCGACCGAAATTTCCGTCGCTATAAATCCGTCGGCAAAACCACGTATTCTAGCAGTGAACTATCCCGACATCTAAAAACCTAAAACAACAAACATGAAATCAAGAAATTAACAACAGTTTGCGAATAATTTAAAATTTACGGTTAACATTTCAATATCTCAAAAATTATAGAAACACCCTCAAAAGTTCAAATTACAAACAAACACCTGAAATTCTAAAATTTTAAAACTTGCAAACAACATAAATGAAGTCAAGGGATTACCATAATGCACCTGAAAATTTTTGACATTTTAAAATAACAAACATGAAATCAAAATATTAATAGTAGCCTCCGAAGAATTTAAACTTTTCAATTAACACCCTTAATATCTCAAAAATTATAGAAACAACCTCAAAAGTTTCAATTATAAAAAACAACCCTATATTTTTAAAGATTTTAAAATTTACAAACAACAAAAGATGAATTCAAGAGATTACCTTCATGCACCTAAAAAATTAAAATTTACCAAAATTAACCTCAAAGTTATAAAAGTTGTAGAAAAAACTCTTTCAAAATTTAAAAATCATAAAAAACTATATTTTTAAAATTTATAACCAGTACATATCAAATATGGAAACTATTGGTTGACCGTTGAAATTTGATTTTTTTTTTAAAGTTAATCTGTAGTTTTAATAATTACAAAAAATAGCCTTCAAATTTTAGAGTTATAAAAAATATCGTGACATTTAAAAAATACAACTGACATATGAAACATAGAAGTTATAACTACTAAACTTAAAAGTAATTTTTTTTAAATGCTCTTAAAGTTTTGAAAATTGTAAACCACACCCTCAAAGTTCAAAACCACAAAAAGACTAAAATTTTAAAACTTAGCAAAAAAATATAATTGTTTGGTATTCTTTCATTAAGATATATATAATATATATATATATATATAATTTCCAATTTATGGTTTACTATCTCTTTTCAGCATCTAAAAATAGTCTAATTTGATATTGGTAAACAAAAGCAATAAGAAATGATTAAAAATATCCGATTAGGGAATAAAAATTTAAAAAATATTATAGCTTAAAAATTATCGTTACCATATAAATTAAAGCAACTGCATAATATTTTATTAATAAGTTGGAGCAGCAAAACACATTATTAACATTAATTGATAGATGTTTAAATCCATAAAAATGATAAAAGACTATAACATAATAGCTTAGCATTAATTGATTATAATTTAGAAATATTAATCTCTGATATTAATAATATTTATAAGGTAAAAGAATACAATAAATTATGTATGGAGAAACTATCAGAATGTTCAGAGAATTAATAATATTTATAAGGTAAAAGAATACAATAAATTATGTATGGAGAAACTATCAGAATGTTCAGAGATATCCTCTAAAAGAATCAAGCTATTTATACAATAAATTATGTATGGAGAAACTATCAGAATGTTCAGAGATATCCTCTAAAAGAATCAAGCTATTTACATTGTAAATGAGAAAGTGATGAAAATAAATCTAAAATTCAGAAAACGTCCATGAATCATTTGAATTGGTATTAGCATAAGACATGTCTATTAAAGAAGCACTAATTGAGTTACATTGACGAATAATTTAATAACTTTATCCCAATCAAAGAAGAATTCTCCATGGAAGATATAAAAAATTTTAGTAAGCATTCATAAATTTCATACTTTTTGTTCTTCAAATACTAAAGAAATTAAATATTAATATTATAATCTAAGACAAATGGCAATAAAAAATATAGGTATTTAGTTTAGATCTTTGTAAAGAATGATAGAGATAGAGCAAATGAAATATTATTAATGTAATAAAAACTCTTATTGGATGCACATCAGAATATTTCATTGTAGAAAAAAAAGATGTAACTCCTAATCTTATTTAAGTAATAAATTAGAAACACAAAGAATTTCATATATAAGATTAATATTTAATCTCATTGAAATAAAAAAAATCAAAGTCTGTGTTGTAAGAAGTTTGTGTTGAACATCGGAAATACATTGAACTTTTTTGTAAAGTTAAACAACAAGATAAAAGATTAACGAGTTGATTTCACAATCGAGTAGATGATGAAGACACTACTCTAGAATTGCCTGGGAAAAAGATAAAGGTGATGAAGGATTGATCTTAGCTCAATAAAAAAATAAAAAAGAATGAATAAAATATAATATTTTCTGAATATTTTATAGAATAGTTTAATTATTTTAAGTGAATTTATGAATCTTTAAAAGGGAGTTTCATGAGATTTTTAGTACTTTTATATGCTTGTACAGATGCTTTTACTATATGAAAGTATACTAGAGTTAGTATTAATTTTTAATTTATAATTTTTTATGAAGTCTATTAATGATTAGGAACAAACTTTATATTCTTTTTGTATTGTTTTAGCATACTTTCAACCAATCATTTTACCTTATTAGTTTTAAATATTCGTCTTCCTTGTATAACATTATTTCAATATTTTTCACTTTTGCAACATTGTTCTTTCTCAAGTAAAGTTTGGTTTCATGTCAGTCAAAATAACATAAAAAGTTAATTAGTTTCAAATTATATTTATTTTCTATCAATTCAAATATTAACATGAAAATTTAAATTGGGTGTAGCCCATTTAAACAAACATCAAAGAAAATAAATAATCGTAATATCAAAGTTTGGAGATAAAAGTGAGCATAAAGTATTAAAGTGGAACTGAGGAACAAATTTTAGTTAGAAAATAATTTAAAAATACTTAATTATGGTATTTAACCACGTGCATTGCACGTGCATAAAACCTAGTCACACTAAATCCTCAATAACCATTGGAATTACATAAAATTACATAATCCCCTAATAATTTTCAGCTTTTCGCAAATAACTCTCATGGTGGCATCGGTCCATATTTGGATCTAAATAAGTTGCTGATGCAAATTTTGGACTGATGCCGTCATATGGGTTATCTAGAAAATGCAGAAAATTAATTTTCTGCAATTGATAGTTATTATTAGAGTTTGAGATTTTAGAAGCTTTTTTTAGGGTTTACCGCAAAAAGCTGAAAGTACTCGGGTTTAGTGTAATTTACACATAGCATGTGATCAAAAAGAGGGCCACAAACTTTGGGGTTGCCAGGTTTTCGTGCTTGGGCCAAGGCCTCTAGTAGGCTGTACCCTGCTGCAACTCTGGCCTTCTTTACGCTTTGCCATAAATAAGCTAGATAATGTGTTTTCATGCAACGATAAGGTCCGAAATCTATGTGAAGGTTTTTTCTTGTATATTAAATTACTGAAAAATTAGAAAGTTATTCTTTTCTTTGTGTCTAATATTTGATGTTTAGCCTTTGTTATATTTTATTGGTTGGTATTATTGTTGACTTTTTTGCAATTGTTATATGATATATATTCACAAAAAAATATTTTCAAACATTGGGCTTACCGTTATCAAAGAGCTGAACTATGTTGATATCAATGTTGTCAAATATACGAACAATATCACTCCAAATTTAAAAATTCAAATTTCAAATTCAAACTTCATACTACTAAACATGTTTTATAGTCAAACTTCATCTACTAAACATGTTCTATAAAAAAAATTAATAATCATACTCCCTTTAAAAGTACGAGTTCGGAAAAATCTTTCCATGGACAATATTACCCTTAACTATTTTGAATATTTTATTTAAATTTTAATCTATCATAATGATAATTATATCATATCCTAATCCCATGTAAGCTACTTACAGGCCAATAATTTAAAAAAATAAGATAAAAAAGTACATGAAATAGTTCCATAGTATCAGTCTGTTAAGGTAAAAAAACACCTCAAAAGTTCAAATAGTAAAAAAGCACCCTGAAATTCTAAAAATTCACAACTTACGAATGACAAGATAGAATTCAAGGGTTTACCATCAAGAACTAAAAATTTAAAATTTATAAAAGAATAACCTCAAAGTTACAAAAATTACAAAAAAACTCTTTCAAAACATAAAAATCACAGAAAGTCCTAAAATTTAAAAACTTATAACCGATACATATCAAATCTCAAAATTATCAGCAAACCGCTAAAAGTTTGAATTTTACAACAATCCAAAGTTTTAATAATTATAAAAGAATACCCTCAAAATTCAGAGTTGTAAGAAATATCCTGACATTCAAAAACTTACCACCAACACATGAAACATAAAAATTATAAGCACCCAATTTAAATTTTTAAAATTTTAAAAAATACTTTTTAAATTTCAAAATTTGCAAAAGACACCCTTAAAAATTCAAAATCATAAAAAACGAATAAAATTTTAGAACTTAACAAAAAAAGAGTAGTTTTTTATATTCTTTCATTAAGATATATAAATTTAACTTCTAATTTAAGGTTTTACTATCATTTTTCGGCATCTAAAAGTAGTCTAATTTTATCAAAAAAGATAAAGGTGAATAAGGATTGATAACGTCTTCAATAAAATCAGAGAGAATGAAAGGCACTATTTTCTGAATATTTTATAGAATAGTTTTTTGTATAAATTAGGAATCTTTAGAAGTTATTTTCATAAAATTTTTAATTTTTATATATGCTCATGTTGATGCTTTAATGATATAAAACTGTACTAGACTTAACATTAATCTCCAGTTTATAATTTTTTAAAAGTCTACCAAGGATTAGGAACAAACTTTATATTATCTTTTGTGTTATTTTAGCTCATTTTTAACCAATCATCTTGTCTTATTAGCTTTAATTATTCATTTTCCTTTTAGAATGCTATTTTTTGAAGTGTTTTTCACTTTTGCAATGCTATATTTTCTCAGGTCAAGCTTGGTTTTATGTTGGTCTCAATGACATGATAATTCAAATTGATTTCAGATTACATTTATTTCATGTTAATTCAATTATCAATATAAAAATTTAAATTGGGTATAGCTCATTTAAACGAACATTAAAGAAAATAAATAATCACAATGCTAAATATTAGAGATATAAGTAAGCAAAAACAATCAAAGTGGAATCGAGGCACGAAGTTTAGTAAGGAAATAAACCTAATATACTTAATCTTGGTATTTAGCTACGTGCATTGCACGTGCATAAAACCTAGTATAAAAATAAACTCACAAGTAATTTTAACCATGTCTCGCGTGTTGCCAATATCTTTAAAAAAAAAAGAAAAAGAAAATCCTCCACCCCACCCAACAATTCATGATTAACACATTGAAATAATTGGAAATTCTGTTCTAATTAGCCCGTAGTCGTACGTATTACATCACATCCAACATTACTTGTTAATATCTTACATACTACCTAGCTCAACTCATACTAACAGTAACGGATGCTAGCTTGGTGAAGTCAAGAGTCCCGTCTTCAAAGCCCAACAAGTGAATCTCAGCCCAATTAAAACTCTTGAGCTTCAAGGTGTGGCCTAGCCCAAGCTCATTATCGTATGCGCTTATACACACGACTTATTGTAAAAGAAAATGGGCTTCGCAACAATGTGGCCTACAGCCCAACAAATTTTACTGATGTTACCTCGGTGGGACCCACAAGCAACCCAACGGTCGATTACTCCTCGTGATGCGCGTAGCACGACTGAAATAAAGCTCATCATCACCCCCCTCAACGGCCATCTTTCGGTAGTTTTCTCCAAACTTTTTTGTATATTTATTCCAACCCCCTCCAAAAATTACCCCCACAAAATCAAATTTCATCCACCCCCCTGTTCTCTTTATTTTCGTCTGGTCTCTTCCGCAAAATCAACTTTCTCGTGACCACTCCCATGGAGGTAGCTACAACCCTAGCTCTGGATAATGCTGGCCCGCCCGAAATCCTAGCGCCTTCTAGGGTTTCGCCGGTGGCGGGAAGGGCTGAGATTGACACGTCAGCGCCGTTCGAGTCCGTGAAGGAGGCGGTTGATCGTTTCGGTGGAAGCGCTCAATGGAAGTCCCAACTCAGGCAGCTTTTTCAACATGAGGTTTAACTCCTACTCCCTCTCTCTCTCTCTGTCTGTCTTTTTTTTGGGCTCTCTCTGTTTTAAGTTTGTAGCTTATTTTAGTTGGGACACTGCAGCTGTGGTTTCTCTTAAAATTTTGATTTTTTTTTATTGCCCATTTTGGTTAAGATTGCATTTGCTGAAGATGCCGTTTGGGTTTGTGTAGTACCTGTGAAATATTGACTCACTGTTTTTAGTTTGGTGAGGAAAAATCTATAACTTTCGCCCCCATTTTCATTGCAAAGACTCAAAATGTTGAAGTTCATGTGAAATTTCAGTATTCTGTTGTCAAAGTATCAGTTTCCACACTGTGAAATCAGTGTTTTTGGTCATGCATTATTGCTTAGCAACTTGTGCTCGTGTGTATATATATTCCAATTTTACTGCTAATCATACTTGTTGTTAGACGTGGTAAATTATTGAGGGAAAAAAATGTGCCATTAGTCGGAATGTCCAATTCATAGTTTGAAAATGGTAAGGTTTGTGTCAATTCATGAGTTTGACATGAGAGCAAGGAGATTTTAGTCAAATAGTTCTCATCTAGCAAATAAGCACTAGGACTTAGATGGCTTTATAGCCAACTTCTACAAACACAAGTTTCCGGTTCTTAAAGAAGATACCTATAATGTCACAGATTACTCATTTTGGTGTTCATGCTTACTACGGAGGGCTAGAGAAATTTGACGAACACAATATGAGAAGTTAAAGTTCTGTCTGGATCTAGCTCATGCTACATATGTCTGGGTTTAGTTCACAATATGGTTTATGGTGGTTAACTTAGAGAGACTCTTTGGAAGATATGTCTCAAAGCCAAGCTTCTTGATGGAACTATATCTTTGGCACTGTAATTGCTTGGTCTCCGTGTGAGTTATTTCTTTGGGAGAATGTCATCTCGATCAACTTGATTTATAAGTGCTTTCGTCGAAATCATTTATATTTATAGATCACAATAAGTACGTGCAGCATTGCAGATTGCTAATTTGAAAGATCACGTTAATTTCTACAGCCAGGAGTACACTTATCTATACACCAGTTTTGCATGGCCAGTCTCATCATATATGTTCACATTTTAGTGTATTTATGGTCTTAATATTCTAACCATACCTCATCATGCACCTTACTATTTGTCATATTCAAGCTGATATTATAGATGACAAATAGTTGAGAACTTAGAGAATTTATATTTACATTATTTTGAAAAAGGCGACGCTAACTATATTACAAACTCTACACTGCAATTATATTGCAAGGAACAAAATTTTGGGATTCTTGGAGATTCATAATTTTTGACAACGATTCATGAGGAAGTATCCCACATTGTGATATATCTTGTAGTACAGGAGTAGTATATAATTTGCAGTATAGTTAGCATTACTATTGATTATCATTTATTGATGTTTTTCTTATAAGCTTTTCAATAAGGAGATGGTTTTCCTCATGACTTTTTTGTCTGCATGATCCATTTGTGACGAGGGTACTTGCCGGGTGTCTTAACCCAATTTTTTTTCTTTTCTCTCTTACATCCGTATGACTAATATATGATATGAATTTTTTTTCCAATCAGTCAATTAATTTTGTTCTTTGTGGCTTCTGATACTGTCATTTTGCGCATGCCTTTCTGGTAATTGAATGATGGGTTAGCATTACTATTGATTATCATTTGTAGTATGTTATACAAGAGTAGTATATAACTTGTAGTATAGTTAGCATTACTATTGATTATCATTTATTGATGTTTTTCTTATAAGTTTTTCCATGAAAGAGATGGCTTTCCTCATGACTTTTTGGTCTGCATGATCAGTTCATGATAAGATTACTTGCTGGTCTTCTTACCCNCCCCCCCCCCCCGGGCCGCCGGGGGGGAGGGGGTTCCCCTTTTCTCTCTTGTATTTCTTGATATTAAGAGAAATCAACAACCATATGACCAATATATTAAATGAATTTTTTTTGATCAGTCAATTAAATTTGTTAGTGTGAGAGTCATAAATCTCTTTGTGCATGCCTTTCTGGTAGTTGAATGATGGGTGTTTTTGGGTCTCAGAAACATCATGGTCCAGTGGAGCTTGATGTGATGCTAGTGGAGGAACAGACTGCACAACTAGAGAAAGACCTCATTCTGAAAGAAAAGGAGACACTTGATGTTCTCAAAGAACTTGAAGTGACTAAAAAAATTGTAGATGACTTGAAACTAAAGCTGCAGAAGGAAGCATCTGAAGTCCCTAACATCTCCGAGAAGAACTCAGATAGTATGAAGGTACATCCAATCCCAGAAGCTGAAGACTGTCGAAGTATTGGTGCAAAGCAATCTCCGGGTTTAATTTTGTTGGAATTGAAGCGAGCAAAGTTAAATCTCAACAGGACGACAAGTGATCTGGCTGGCATTAGAGCTTCTGTAGAATTACTCACTAGTAAAATTGAGAAAGAGAAGGCTTTGCTTAGTAAAACAAGTGAGAAGCTTAGCTCAAATACTGCTCTGGTTTCATCTTTAGAGGAACAATTGAATCAGACCACTCTCAAGCTGCAAGAAACCAGAGAAGAAAGAAACCCGTCAGATATCTCAGCGGAAATAGGAAAGCTAACTTCTGAAATAGAGCAGTTGAGACAAATGAAAGAAATCTCAAACTCCGAGGTTTTGAAGTTAACAGCAGAGATTGAGCAATCAAATGCCAGTATAAAGACAGCTGAAATCCGATGGTTTGCAGCAAAAAAGATGGAAGATGCAGCCAAAGCAGCAGAAGCTGTTGCCATTGCAGAAATCAAAGCCTTGATGAATAATAATAATAATAATAATAGCTCAGCTGAAGAGCTCGAACCCCTCTCTTTAGTAACGCTATCCTTTGCTGAATACACTGAGTTGACCCGTAAAGCTCGAGAAGCTGATGAAATCTCAAGAAAGAAAATTGAAGCTGCTATGAATGATGTAGAAGAAGCAAACCAATGTAAACTGAAGTTGTTAACAGAGGTAGAAAAGGCCACTGCTCAAGTTAAAACAAGCAAGAAAGCACTGGAAGAGGCATTGTTAAGAGCAGAGGTTGCAAATAGAGGAAAACTTGCAGTTGAAGAAGCTCTGAGAAAATGGAGATCTGAACAGGGTCAAAGGAGGCGATTTGTTCACACCTCTCCTAAGTTCAAGAACTCTAACCAAACTCATCATAGACGAGACTCTCGAATGCTTGATCTTAATGGATTGAGCCTGGTTACTGATGTGCCAAGTATTGGGATGAGGCCCACATTGTCGATTGGGCAGATACTTAGCAGGAAATTGATGACTCCTGATGAGTATGATGTGGGAATAAGTAAGAAGATTCATGTGAAGACTGAGGTTTCCTTGGGTCAAATGTTGAGCAAGAAACATGGGGCTTGGTCTCCTCTGAGGGTAGTTGATGATGGATCTGGTCGAAAGCAGTTTTCTGTGAAGAGGAAGAAGTTTGGGCTTGTTGGTCTCTCTCTTCTGAAAGCGAAGCAAAGCAAGAAGGCGAGAAAGAATAGGAGGACACGGGAAGCCTGAGGTCTAGGTAATTCTAAGTTTATAAGTAGTGCATGATCCTAATTTGGCACGAGGTGTTATATATCATGCCATAGATAGTGTGAAATTAACTTGATTGTATCTTTTCTTTGATTTTCAAGGTGGGGTTGATGGTGTAGGTTGTTCAGTCAGTGTGTAGAGTAACACTACTTATGTTCTGTAATTTGGATCTGAGTTTGATGACTGTGTAAATATTTCTGATATTAGTTTAAGCTGCCGAGTTTTGGAACATCATATGACCATATTGTTGAATGATTGAGAGAGAGTGCAGAAATTCAACAGTTGCTAGCATTTGTTATCTTGGGGAAGCATTCAATCTTTGAAATTGAAAAACACCATCATGACAGGAATTTCTGGATATGAATCTGAATGAAGATAATGCCGTGTGAAAAATAGATCAAGTTGGGTTTTGATCTGGTAGAGATGAATGCTGATCATCTATTATAGGTTATCTTGGAGAAGGAGAAGGTTACTCTACCTTTGAGATTGAAAAATACTGGCATGACAGTAACTTCTAGCAAAATAGTTCAAGCTGTGATTTGATCTGCTAGAGCTGAATGCTCATCATCGTTATTTATGATCTTATGAAAGAAGGCTAAATTACCAAATTGGTATTTTTTACAACTTCCCTTTACCAGTTTGATACTTTGTTTGTTGTTTTGGCGACATTTTTAGTACCAAAAAGTCCACAAAATATGTGCAATTAGGTCTTAATTTTCACTGCCATCATCTCGCACAAAAAATTGGGAAATTTGAGAAAAAAAAAAAACATGTTTATGATGTATAAAGACTGCCACGTCATTTAAATACATCCACATTGGCATTCTAATATCCCTCAAATTTAATCACGTGAGGTCACATGCCTTTCAACAAATTTTCACCGGCAGCAACAAAAAAATATCTATTTGTATATTTGGTAGGCTTTTAATACTAAAAAGTTGTCTGAGCAACATAAATACCAAATCGGTAAAGAGGTGTTATAAAAAATACAAAATTAGTGATTTAGCCATTGAAAGAAGAGAAATTTGTATCAAGGTCCAAAAATAAAAACTTCATGTGTTGCAGCTCATTTGACTTTTTCCCATGTGTTTTAGCCATTAAATTGGAGATCTATGTTCTGCAGCCCTTCTTTAGCAATTATAACATGCCAACTAAGCATAGAGAGAGAATAAAAAAAATAAAAACCTCAAATGCTCTTATCTCCTCTATTCTTTCATATTAAGTCTAAAAACAAGTTGAATTAGACTTAACATGAAAGACTAATTTCATATCAAGTTCAATTTAATTCATGTTAAGTCTAATTTAATCCCTTTTAAGTCTAATTTAATTCCTTTCAAGTCTAATTTAAATCATTTTATGTCTAATTTAATTCATGCTAAGTCTAATTCAACTTGTTTTAAGTTTAATTTCATGTTAAGTCCAATTTAATTCATTTAAGTCTCATTTAATTCCTTTTAAGTCTAATTTAAATCATGCTATGTCTAATTCAACTTGTTTCAAGTATAATTTAATTCATGTTAAGTCTAATTCAACTTACTTTAAGTCCAATTTAATTCATGTTAAGTCTAATTTAATTCTTTTAAGTCTAATTTAAATCATGTTATGTTTAATTCAACTAGTTTTAAGTTTAATTTAATTCATGTTAAGTCTAATTCAACTTGTTTTAAGTCTAATTTCATGTTAAGTCCAATTTAATTCATGTTAAGTCTAATTTAATTCATTTTAAGTCTAATTAAAATCATGTTATGTCTAATTCAACTTGTTTTGATTCTAATTTAATTGGACTTAACATGAAATTAGACTTAAAAAAAGTTGAATAAGACTTAACATGGTTTAAATTACACTTAACATGAATCAAATTAGACTTAACATGCAATTAGACTTAAAATAAGTTGAAATAGACTCAACATGATTCATGTTAAGCATGTTAAGTCTAATTCAACTTGTTTTTAGACTTAAAATAAGTTGAATTAGTCATAACATGATATAAATTAGACATAAAAAATTTAAATTAGACTTGACATGAACCAAATTAGACTTAACATGAACCGAATTGGACTTAACATGAATCAAATTGGACTTAATATGAAATTAAACTTAAAACAAGTTGAATTAGACTTAACGTGATTCATGTTAAGTCTAATCGTTAAGTCTAATTCAACCTGTTTTTAGACTTGAAACAAGTTGAATTGGACATAGCATGATTTAAATTAGACTTAAAAAAAATTAAATTAAACTTAACATGAACTATATTGGATTTAACATGAAATTAGACTTAAAGCAGGTTGAATTAGACTTAACATGATTTAAATTGGACTTAATATAAACCGAATTAGATTTAACATGAACCAAATTAGACTTAACATGAACCGAATTGGACTTAACATATAATCCATGTTAAGTCTATTTTATTTTATTTTAAGTCTAATTTCATGTTAAGTCTAATTTAAATTAGACTTGAAATGATTTAAATTAGACTTAACAAGATTTAAATTAGATAAATTAGACTTAAAACGATTTAAATTAGATTTAAAATTATTTAAACTGAACTTAACACGAACCAAATTAGACTTAACACGAACCAAACTGGATTTAACACGAATCAAACTGGACTTAACATGAACTAAACTGGACTTAACACTAAACTGGATTAAAATTAGACTTAAAATGAATTAAATTAGATTTAACATGAATCAAATTGGACTTAACATGAAGTAAAATTGGACTTAATATGAAATTAGACTTAAAATAAGTTGAAATAGACTTAACATGATTCATGTTAAGTCTAATTTAATTTATTTTTCGACTTAAAATAAGTTGAATTAAAATAAGTTGAATTAGACATAACATTATTTAAATTAGACTTAACATGAATCAAACTGGACTTAATATAAATCAAATTGGACGTAATATAAAATTAGACTTAAAACATATTAAATTAGACTTAACATGATTCATGTTAACTCTAATTCAACTTATTTTTAGACCTAAAACAAGTTGGATTAGACTTAACATGATTTAAATTAGATTTAAAAGAAATTAAATTAGACTTAATATAAACCAAACTGAACTTAACATGATAGATCTGGAGAGAATGAAAATGGAGGAGGAAATGAGTGTATTTTTGGGCTTTTATGTTTGTTTCTCATTCTTTGTGCTTAGTTGGCATGATAATTATATGAAAAATAGTTGCAGCACATGATGTGACATTTCTTAGGGCTGAACCACATGGGAAAAAATGGAGGGACTGTAACACACGAATGTTTTACTTTTGGGGCTTTGGCACAATTTCCTCTTGAGAGAATGTTGTGCAAGAAACTATTTATTTAGGTTATTCATTTTATGTGAAACTATCGAAGAAACGGTCGATATGTCCGAGTGGTTAAGGAGACAGACTTGAAATCTGTTGGGCTTCGCCCGCGCAGGTTCGAACGGTCGATATGTCCGAGTGGTTAAGGAGACAGACTTGAAATCTGTTGGGCTTCGCCCGCGCAGGTTCGAACCCTGCTGTCGACGGTGGTTAAGGAGACAGACTTGAAATCTGTTGGGCTTCGCCCGCGCAGGTTCGAACCCTGCTGTCGACGTTATACTTCTTTTTCCCTCTTTACTTACCCTTTTTCATGAAAGAAATATTAAAGTCTTAACATGATCCAGCGTGACAGTAGACCGAGAATATCTCCCTTGCAAGGCAAAGAACAAAAATCTGTTAGGTATCACGCAAGAGAGAGTGAAAATAAATTAGTCGCCGCCCGTCTTTTCAATAATTTGTCCAAAAAAAAGATATACACACACATATATTATAAGAGCCAAAAAAAAAAAAAGAAGAAGAAGAAGAAGAAGAAGCAGGGATGACTCTAGGTACACCGACGACTTTGCAAATCTGATCAAGACCTCCCCCTTTGTCTCCCAAGTTTCCTCCGCCAAATCCTCATCCGAAGGTAATTAAATCTTTTTTCTCTCAATTTTCTTCACGATTATAAAGATTTTTGCCTGCTCTCAGTTTTCTGCTTACATAGTGTATCGTACTAATGATATTTAACCCAATACGATTAAGATGTTCATGGGTTTTGTTGTTTTCAACAGGTGCAATATGAGTCTAAGGAGAGGGTGTCTTTTTCTCTTCGTAATGGTAGTCATCTGCGTACGAGCTAATGCAAGAAATCCGGTCACCTTGGATATAATTGGTAACCCTTTTTTTTTTATTTTTAAATTAACTTGCTCTGAATTACTTCTTTGTTACATTTTTTTTCTCACTAGTAGACGAGAATTTATTTCAAGCTCACAACCGGAGCAAAATAGAATACGATATAACAGTACAGATCATAAACATGTCAGAGTACATCGATACGTGATACCATAGGTGTGCATCACTATGTCTTATGTAATATTTCAATAACCATATGGACGTCGTCGATCACCTAGCCCCCGCGCCATGTGGACTATGCATGCGGATTTCCCTAAACCTTACCGATGATGTTCCGTGGTCTGGATGCCTTCTCATTGAAATTTCTATCATTTTGTTCAAGCTGTATGAACCAGATAACAGCGACAAATTAATAAAGCCCGCCAAACCTTTCTTAATTTGCCGTTAAAGCACACAAACCTCCCTTACGCGCATCGTTTCTATTACAGAATGGGCAAGTACAAGAGCTTGCCCACATTAGCCCAAAATTTTGTTCCATATTGCTCTTGCGAAGTCACAACGAAGAAGGATATGTGTAGCATCTTCCCCGCCATTTTTTTTTGCAAAATGCACACAATTTTATAAACTGATTCTGTTCTCCAATTAGAAGTTATAACTTACTACCATCTTTACTCACTATGAGCAGGTATATGTGAGCCGCGTCTTATCTGTCTTACAATACTGTTTTCACCCTTGATAGCAGATGCGAAGTAAACTGGCGTCACATTTGTTTTAGTTGAACAAATGGCATCCATCTTACATTAAAGTTTGGCTCGTTTTAGTTTCTTTGTTATGAATCAAGTGCAAGTGAATTCGCATGATTGCGAAAGATGCAACAAAGTATTAAGATTTTATAAGGGAGATATGTGGAGGCACTTCAATAAAATTTGGACTGCAATCAAGTTAATAAATCTGAGGTGCAACTTATGGAGGCCTGATTGTTGTCACTCAGACAGAAATATCTGCTATTTGATCTTTGAATCTTTCAGAGCTTATAAAAATGATATCATGGCATGACATTTTAGGTGGATGTTTTCGACCACCATGGTGTAGTTTGAAAGATGTGCTTTGGTGATTTTACAAGAGATAAATAAACTAAAAGCCGTGACATAACAATTTAGAGAGTTAAAAGTGTTCATCAAAGGAACTTATATAGTGACATGTGTTCAGCTATGTAGAATGTAAACGGCTTGATGTGCATATGTTTATCTAGAAGTAATAGAGAGCCCAAAGGTGATGCTGATGGAAGTTGCACAGAAATTTAGTTGAATATCAAATTGACACATAATACATAGGCTCTAGTCTTTGTGAATTGTGTACGTAGTTGTATTCTGCAACAACCTCGTACCTCTTTTTGTTAAATTTCGAAACACCATTTCGTATAAGCCCATTGTTCCTATAACAAAGAGTCTTCTCTTTTGTGTTGCTATTAGCGTTTTACTTATACAAACACACCGTTCAGCTCTGAAAATTTCCCAAGTAGTGGTGGTAGCAGTAGTAGCCGCAATCCTAACGGCCACATTTCATATTTCCAGCTACATCAGTGGATGACCAGGTACCAAATGAAAATGAAAATTCTGAAGCGGTTGAAAGAAATGGACAATTGTGCACACTATGCCAAGATTATACGACCCAGGTTGTCGAATATTTTAGCAAAAATGAGACACAATATGAGATCATCAGCACACTACATCAAGCATGCTCCCTCCTCCATGTTTTCAAACATCAGGTACACCTTTTATGTTGTGCATAGATTAACTACTTTATTGGAATTTTAGTGAAACACTTGATCTCATTATCTATGTAGTGTGTTTCATTGGCAGATCATTATGCACCTATGTTCTTCTCGGAGATTGCTACAATACAACCTGAGCTGTTCTGTAAAAAGCTGAATCTATGTAAGGAGATGGCATCACTTCACTTGCAGAAGAATGATGATGTCTGCAATGTCTGCCATCATGTTGTTAGAGAAGTTCTTACCAAACTGCAGGATCCAGATACACAGGTGGATATCATTGTTTTCTCAATGTCGTTGCAATTTTATAATTAGGATCTCTATCTTGCATTGGAAATCACAAACCAGGCAAAATTTTATTTGAAGTTATAGTGGGAAACTCAATCCTGGAAACTAAGAATCATAGGATAATCTATGGCAGCAGAAGTTCCTTTTCACTGTCTATTCATGAGCAAATCATGGATCGATAATTCTTGACTCACAATTATGTCTCTACACGACATGGTACTTTCCGTCGTGCAATCGTAACTACTTGGAAACTCTGAAGTTCAAGGGAACTCAATGAAAGTCGAAGTAGGTCTAACTCCTTACCATGTTTACAAAGCTAATGAGGAGCCTTTTCTCAGATAGATGGCAGAGGGAACATGATAGGGTGTAAAATCCTCATAAATAGCTTGCTTACATTCTCTTCAAACTGCACTTGGGCTTGACCACCCTTGAGAACCCATGGACTTTCTCTAAAGGACATTGGTAAAGGGGCTGCAAGAGACATGAGAAAAGACGTGTGAAATAAATTGACAAGTCATTTAGCGGTGATCCCACAGATGACAAATATGCAAATTGCACGAATGTGAGTCTTCGTTTAAGTATCTTAATGAAGATACCGAGCCAAGATAAAAAACTGCTTCCTACATGAAATCTTCAAATCCTGACAGAAATAACCTTAACAAAGTCTAGAAAAGTCTAGTTAAATTGTATCATTATCTTCTGTGTTATACCCTCTTTCTTGGTTGTATTTTCTCCAACAATTGATTTCCTTGCATCTTCGGCTCTTTCTCCTGTCCTCTACAAATACACACACAGATAGGAATTCGGACAGTTGTTAGATGTCTCATGATGTTATGGTTTCAAGACAATGAGCCAACATGCAAAGAGGATTTCTTCTCTATTAGGGGAATAGGGTATGAATCACTCACCTTGACATTCATAAAACCAAGATGTTGCCTCTTGCACCTCCATTGGTTCTTTTCTTCAGCTACCAGTATTTATTAACAAGAAGTTATAAGAGGAAAGCAAATGGAGCTGATGAAAGTTTGCGGCACAAAACATGTTTTTTTTCATGAAAGCAATTTGGAACATGTGTACAATAGTGCATACATAGAGATCCAAGTTCAAGACAGTTCAATATTTTTGAACAATGTTGTCTCCTTTATGCACCTCTGCTCTGGAAAAAAAGAAAAATACAATTATATGCGCTTCCGCATTTAATTTTGTTATGAGGTGTTATTCTTTGACTCCTGATCACAACAAATTCCATTCTTTTAGGCTTGTAAATCAACTTTTTCTCGAGGCTTAGTGATGATAATTGTTCTTTTTCATTTTTGAAGACCACTTGACATATACATTACTTTTTTTGGGGTTTGTGCTATTATGTTTAATTACATCTCACGTCCCATAACAAGTGTAAATTTAATCTTAATCATTTCAGCTGCTTATTTACGGTATAAATTTTCTTCTCTAGAATATACAGCTTGGTATTGCTGACACCTTTATTTATGGAAATTTCTCAGCTTGAGATAATTGAGACACTTCTGAAGGGATGCAACAAGATGGAAAACTTTGCGCGGGAGGTGAGCTTTTATGTATCCATCCATGTAAATGATAGGATCTTGCATATATGCCCAAGACAGGCGAAGCCTAACTGGTACTAGCGCTTGTAAATGCATTCAAACTTGTTGATATTTTTAACGTAGAAGTCCCTTCATATACTTTCAAGCTACCGATCTTCTTTACACAATGACAAGTTGGCATGGCGAGGTTTTAGTATATTTACGATTGTTTTTCAAATTCTACTCTATTGTTATAACCTTTTTAATCATCTGATCATTGACAGTTGCATATTTTTGGAGGCATGAGCACTCTTGCTTCATTTTTGCACGAACTAATTTGATTCATTTCCTCTTCCGCTATCTTTATTTGAAATTCACACAGTGCAAACAGTTGGTCTTCGAGTACGGCCCAATAGTTCTAGCCAACGCGGAGAAGTTTTTCGAGACTACAGATATCTGTGCTGCTATTCATGTATGCAAAGCTAACGGAAAGTCTGCTTCCCTTGGTGAACTGCTCCTTTCTTATGCTTAAATCTATACAAGCTTACAGAAACTTGAAAAGAAACTGTTGTACAAAATCTGTAATAATTAAATCTCTATTTTGTACCTATAATTTGTTTTGTGCCGTGGCCCTCAAATTTGTCAAATCTGGCGTGGCAAATATTGTGTGAAGCTTGTTCTAGTTGCCTACTCTTGAACGGTTACATTCCTCTGTAAATAATATGTTTCCCAAGAAAGATGATATGCTGATGTTTGAAGTGTAAAAATTGATGAGATTGCGCTCATGCTCAGGGTTCGTATGTACTGATTGCAGTACTTAATAGTAGGTACATATATGTAACTTGTAATCTCTCAACTCACAAGATCTCCGACAATCCAAATATTATTCGTGTTCTCGTTTTTTCTCGTTAAATTGAGTGAATAATGAATAAATATAAGAAAGCAGAACATCAAAAGTCAAATGGATTCAAGATAACAATCAGTGAACATGAAGCTACTGATTAACATTTGAGGTGGTTTCTCCCAATTCTGTTGGCTAGAGCATGTACAGATAATCTTTGCAGATTTTAATCTGCTTCAGCCACAATTTATGTGGCCACATAATTTGAGGAGGCTGAATGAATCATGCATATGCTTACATAGCACTATGTACTGTTGGTCCTTGTCTGTCCTTATCACTGAATTAGACTGAAATGGATGTATTCAGAAGAAAAGTTTCATTAAACTTTTGCTCTGTTGTTTTGGGTGGGGAGCATAAGTAGCTTTCACACTTCTAGCCACTTACAAGATAACCATTTCTTCCTTTTTTTTTTTTTTTTTTTTTTTGAAATATTT